TCAAAATAATCTATCCCCTCTTCTTGTGTATAACCTTTGGCAACCAATCTAGCTTTATATCTTTCTAGGGTGCCATCAGATTTATACTTTACTTTAAAAACCCACTTGCAACCTATGCAATGTTTGTCTTTGGGTAAAGGAACCAAAGACCATGTGTTAGTGCTTTCTAGTGCATCTATTTCTTTACTCATTGCCAATTGCCATTGAGGGTCTTTAGCAGCCTCAGAATATGACTTAGGTTCTGAGATTAGAGATATAGATGCAGTGTAGCATGAATGAGATGCAGAAAGAGAATTAGTGGACAGATAAGATGATATTGGATATTGTGATGTACCAGAAGTGCTGTTGGAGGAGGTTGCAGATGATAGGGAGTGCTGATATATATCTAAGTAAGCAGGAGTTTTTGTATGTCTGGTGGACCTTCTTGTTTGCTTAAGAAAAGGTAGAAAGTCCTCATAAAATAGTACATTTCTGGATATCAATGTTTTCTTGGTATCTAGGTTGTAGAGTTTATATCCCTTACAACCTATAGGATATCCAAGAAGAATGCATTTTTGTGCTCTAGAATCAAATTTATGTCTGTTTACATGTAATGTGGATGCATAACACAAGCAACCTATGACTCTGAGGTGAGAATGTGAAGGTGCTTTGTTGAAAAGAAGTTCAAAAGGAGACTTGTTATGAAGAACCATGGATGGAACTCTGTTAATGATGTGTGCAGCAGCCATGATGCAATCTATCCAAAAAGTGAGAGGTAAATGTGCATGAAATAAAATGGCTCTTGCTACTTGCAAGAGATGCTGATGTTTTCTTTCTACTCTCCCATTCTGTTGGGGAGTTTCAACACAGCTGGTTTGATGCAGTATGCCACTATTGATGTAAAAGTCATGCATATGAAATTCAGAACCATTGTCAGTTCTGATGATTTTTATTTGTTTTTGAAATTGAGTAGAAACCATGTTAGAAAACTGAAGTATGCTAGTTTTTGTGTCTGATTTATTCTTAAGGGGATAAATCCAAGTGGTCCTACTGAAGTCATCTACTATGGTAAGAAAATATTTGTATCCTTCATGAGAAGGGATAGAAAAAGGACCCCATAGGTCACAATGAATGAGTTCAAAAGCATATGCAGCATGAGAAGTGCTAAGTGTAAATGGCAGTTTCTTTTGCCTAGCAAAATGACACACATCACATGGTAGAGTTTGCATATGTTTACAATTAATACCAGAAATAGGAAGATGCATAAGCTTAGAATAAGAGAGATGTCCCAATCTGTTATGCCAGATAATATTGTCCACAGAGTCATGTTTTACAAGTGAAGAAGAGTTCACAGAATCATGCTTTACATGTAAAGAAGAGTTTACAGAGTCATGCTTTACAGGTAAAGGAGAAAATACAGGTAAAGTGCATGAACTAGATATATGTTCAGAAATAGGAAATTTGTCAGGAGAATCATCAAGAGATAGATGATAGAGACCATCTTTTAGTTCAGCAGAACCAATCACTTTGTGTGTTGTCAGGTCCTGTAAAATGCAATTTGATGACAAAAATTGAACAACACAATTGTTGGTGGAAACCAGTTTTGAGACAGATATGAGATTGAAGCTGAAGCTAGGGACAAATAGAGCATCATGCAATAAGATTTTTGTGGATAATTTAACTTGTCCTATGCAACAGGCATCAGTAGTATTTCCATTTGGCAAGTTAATATGAACATTGGTGATGGGTTTAGTAAATTGAAAATGAGAAGCATCACATATCATATGATCAGTTTCCCCTGTGTCCAATATCCATGTGTTTCTATCTAAATGTCTAGATACTACACAGGAGTAAGGTTCAGAAATACCTGATAGCTCTTGGACAGCAGTTGCAACTGTGGGATTCTGCTTGGGTTGTTTGGTCTCCTGATACTTCTTAAAGGCTAAAAACTCATTAAAGAGCTCATTAGTAATGTTGGTATTATCAGTGGTGGAACTATCAGGAGCAGTATAGGTATTGGCAATGTTGGCAGAGGGTTGAGGATGTTGGGGATGAATCCTGGGACCCCTTGGGCCAACCCAGTCAGGAGGATAGCCATATACTTGGTAGCATTTATCAGAGGGATGAGGATAGCCACAATGTGTGCATTTAGGCATGGGTTTCTTGTCTTTGTTATATGGAGGTTTGTGATATTTTTGGTTGGAAGGAGCTGTTTTAGCCAACATAGCCATGGGATCAACAGTTGATGTGGTGTTATGCAAGGATCTTTGGGATTCTTCTTGAAGTAATAGGGAGTATATTTTTGTGAGATTGGGTAAGGGTGAGGACAACAAAAAATGGCTTCTGAGAGAAGCATATGAATCATTAAGCCCAATCAAAAACTTCATTACACAATCATGCTGTTGAGACTCAGCCATGGAATAAAAAATGTTACATGTACAGGAAGTGAAAGCACCACAATGACAACGAAATATGGGACGATATGTAATGTATTCATCCCAAAGACCCTTAAAATTGTTGTAATACTGTGTGACAGACAGAGAACCCTGATCTATAGTACTTAATGATTTTTCCAGTTGAAACACTCTAGGGCCTGTACTGACTGCATATCTATTTTTAAGTTCATCCCAAACATCTTTTGCAGTATTGAAAAACAATAAGGACTGTCGTATGTCTTTAGACACAGAATTGAGAAGCCAAGACAATACCAAATTGTTTGCCCTAAACCAGGATACATACAGATCAGGATTACTAGTAGGAGATGGAGAGATCAGAGTATCGTCGACGAAACCTCCTTTGTTTTTGACACTGAGTGCCATTAGAACCGCTCGCGACCAGGAAACATAGTTCTCGCCGTTGAACAGGTCGGCGATGATGATGGCGCCTGGATTGTCGCTCGCGTGTAGGAAGTACGGTGATGTAGGATCGTCGGTCGGATTCACAGGCATGTCGATAGATCTAGGATAGAAACGATAGATCTCGATCGAAATGAGAAGATCTCAGAGTTGGAGATCAGAAAACGAATATCAGAGGGCAAAAAACCCTAAAAATCGAACAAAATCAAAGGAAATCGATAGAATCTCAGAGGTGGAGACAAGATCGATCAATAGAACAGAGATGCGGAAGCGAAAAACACAAGATCGTTGGCGAATGATACCATATTAGAAACGGGGGAAGAGAGTGCGGTCCCACCAGATGAAGGTGCACCATAAGAGGGTGAGCCTAGATGCACCTTAGTGAGGTTCCATCCCAAAACCAATTGGTGATTGGAGGAGTAGCCCACTAGGCTTATATACTACACTCATTTTCCCTGTAGAATCAATGTGGGACACTCACAAGTGATATTCGAATCAATGTGGGACACTCACAAGTGATATTCCAACACGCCCCCTCACTTGTGAGTCCTTCGTAAGCCCAAGCCCAGAGCAGGCCGGGTAGAGAGAGAGTCATTGCAGGTCCTAGGACAGGCCCGCTCTGATACCATATTAGAATTGAAACTAAGGATTCTGTATGAATTTACAGAAGAACACGAGAGAGAGAAAAGGGAAAGCTTAACTTGTATTGAAAAGGAAAAACGTGAAAAGTGTCTTGAATACAGAGGATGAACCCTATTTATACTTAGGGTTACACAAGGGTAGGAAAGTAAAATTACAAGAACCTATAGTTGTTGTTTATAGGACAACAACTTTACAATAAAAACTAAATAGCAACTTTTACAATAAACTATAATCTTATTAGAACCCGAGACATCATGAAAGAAAGAAGAGAAAAAAAAGGGTATAGAATCCTTCGAAAGGAATGAATCCATTTCCCCTAGAGCCCATTTAGATAATCAATGACTTATCTCACTATATATTTATCATATCAACGTGTGTACAGACACCACAATTCGAAGATAATAGAAGATCGATGATTTCATCGAATACATGTTGCTTTATTTACTAAGTGTCGATTTAGATTGATGGTTTTGTTTATAATTATTTTATGTGCTGTACTATTCTTCAATTGAATAGTATATATAATAGAATATAAAGATGGAACGAGAACAATCATAGTTCAGGAAAATAGATAATTATTTACATACATCTTCATTTATATGCTGGTTAAGATTTTAATTAAAGATGACAAATTTTTTTTTTTTTTTTTCTTAATGTATATTTTACACACATCACTACAAAAAAAAACTCTTACATTCCAACGGAAATTTTCCGTTGGAATTTTTTATATTTCCGTTGGAATAGCTATTCCAATGGATATTCTTACGTATAAAAATCTGTTGGAAAAACGACCGTTGGAATAGCAAATATCTAACGAAAAATCCTATGGAAATAAATTCCTACAGTTATTCCAACGGAAAAAATCCGTTGGAATTCCTCAATTATCCAACACTTATTTCAACATAAAATTAAGTTTGATGAAATATTCATTGGAATTTCCAACGGAAATTTTTGCCGTTGGAATTGAAGTATTTTTTTGTAGTGCATGAATAAACTCTTGTACTCTCAGTCTCTCAATATATGTATGTGTGTGCGTTTACATATAATTCGTTTGTACACGTACTTACCTTAAATTTCATGCATCATCAAATTTTGTTATCATATTTTGGTCATTCAAAGTTCTTATTTTGTTACTATTATTCAATATAGAGAGAAAATTAAACTATTTGAATTGTAAAATTTAGGATATTTTACAACGTAAGACCTTAGCTTAGTACAAAGTTAAATCAAATTACCGAAATTATGAAAAGAAAAATGTTATCATGCTAAAGTCATAATTAGGAGGTGCACAACAATTAGTGTATATACAAGTTATAATATAAAATAATAAAAAAAAAGTGTGAATATTTTTTAATATTTAAATAATATTATACTTTAACATACAATACAAATAAAAATATAATATTTTATAAAATAAGTACGATTTTTCCAAAGCAAAACATCATTTGTGTTTGCAGTTAAGTTAATTGATCTTTTAAATTGATCTTATGAATTAATTAACAGTGTGCTAATTGCACGTGACGGATGGTGTGGACGGTGTCAGCTGCTCATGTGGAAAAGCCAAAAGCGACGGGGAGGAACGCCACGTGGCGACCATCCGACGGCTCTTCCTTTTCGTTTGATACTTCCTGCTGCCCAAATGTTTTAATATCTGCAACGTGCCGACACGTGCCTGCTACAGGTCACGTGCGTGTATGGCTTTATCACGGTCTACACGTGCCTGGTCACGTGGGTTGGATGCCGCTGTTTGAACTT